AGCCCAACGTGGTTGCACTTTTTTCCTCTCTCCCTCAAAAGATCAATTCCACAGATAGAAGAATAATCTTTATCTGTATGGAGAAATAACTCAGAATGAATTTGTACCACCGAAGCTGTTCTGCACTCAACCCTACCGTGGAAAACAGCAGCCTCCAAATTAATTTTTCATCCCTTGCTGCCCCACACATCTGAGACATCTGACACACACAGAATATCCTCTTACTACTGTCAAAAGATAAGTATGGTTACCACCAGAAAGCGACTCTCGCCCTCTGTCTACAGAGTGTCTAGTCTCAGGCAACTGTATACCTTGGGCACAGGCCTACGCTAAGTGCAAGGGACCTAAACTTAATTCAGAACTTATTGTAAGAGTAGAAGTGCAAAGGCTGTGCAATGGCTGAGTGCACAGTTGCTTCAGGAAACAACTGCAGGGAAGCTTGTATGCTGTAAATTCCCTTTCACTTACTGATAAAGCAACGTCAGTTGCAGTTCTCCACCCCCCACCCTGCAATCCCGGCTTTTATTTCTATATTACATTAAGATTTTTGTTCTGTGTTTGGAGGAAATACTGTTTTTCAATTCTAGAAGTATAATTGCAATATAAAAAATATCCTGAGACATCCAGAATGCCATTAGTACCTTTTAAATGTTACTCCATGCTTTGTTTTCATCACACCTTAAATCCTCCCCCCATTCACATACAAAATCCATCAGTGTATTATCTGCTTTCATGTACCATATTAACTAAGGGATTAGACTGCAGCTTTTGAAAAGTGGTGTGTCAAAAGAAGACATTCATATAATCTGATAGCACTTGTATCCGTGCACGTGTATCTCAGTGGAGGATTTGGTGTGCTGATACCATTCAGCATCAGCATTAAAAACAAAACAAAGTGAAAACACCAGGCATGGTGTGCTTGAGAAATAAAAGGTTAGGATGCACTGAGGTATTTTTTTCTCTTTTGTAGGAGATCAACTACATCCAGACCTACAGCTGGTGCAGTTGCTTCCTTCTGGTCAAAGTGACTGGTTTTCAAATTCTTACCTGGTAATCAGATATCAAGGAGACAGCAAGCTTTAAAATGATCTAGCATTAGATTAACTGTCATTTAAAAGAAAATTTGCATAAAAGAAGATTGTAAGTAATGGTGATATTTGAATGTAGGATTTATGAGTGCAGTTGCTTTCTCAATTGAATGAACCAACAGAGAAATAATCATCTTTTTTGGAGACCTTTTCAGGAATGCAAGATATTTTAGGTTTTGGTCTTACGATCCTGAAATTAATAGAATCACAGAATCATCTAGGTTGGAAAAGACCTCCAAGATCACCTTGTGCAACCTCTGACCTAACACTAACAAGTCCTATCACTAAACCATATTCTGACCTAACATTAACAAGTCCTATCACTAAACAATATCACTAATAACTCATTATTATAATTAGCTGAGATGAGATAGTCATAACTTCTTGCTGCCCCCCCCATCCTCCCTCCTCCCCAATTTTTGTATGTTAAAATTATCATTCACTTTGTCTTCTCCCACCTGCAATATTTTCCCTATCTCCCACCTCCCACCTCCATATTTTCCCTGTTAGTAATTTGTTTCTGACATTGACTACACATCCCTTCAAACTTTCTTTCCTTAGACAATGTCTTTCTCTGTGCTCTAGACCCCCTAACTGCCCTAATATAAGCGCTGAAACCTTAATCTATGAACTTTTAACATGAAGATCACCTGATCTCCTGCCCGCTTCTGACAGCCCACCTTCCCCTATCTTCCATCACGTGCAGTATTGCCTGTGACCACCAGCTGTTTCAGCCTGCTCCAAGGTTGAGACTTAGGGCAGGCACAAAACACACACCTAGCTTCTGGCACTAGCACAGGAGTACCTGTACACCCACTCATTGTCACAAAGATGTTATAAACATCCTGACATGAAAAACACACAACCTGAGCACTCAAGCTGGAAGAACAAAGAAAGAGCATCTGTTGCGCAAGCACTTCTGAATGCCACATGCAAATCTACTCTTATCAACAATCAGAAGTGTTTAGCCTCCAGCTTCAACGCTCATTGACAAGAAGATAATCCTGTATAGGAAACACCAGTATATGAAGGATTTTTGAACAATCTGGGAGTAATGCCAGTCAGCTTGAGAATGAACATTCAAGGCTATTTTAGTCCATTCACAAAACAGAGTTTGTAATTATTTTTCCCTAAGAAATCTTCAATTTAACTGAATGGGGCAGGATGGATGGAGTAAACTGAAGCCAACCACAAACTTCTGCTGACGCAATATTTAAGTGTACAGGAAAGGAACCGGTAACAGTAGGTCTCTTCTCAACCCAGACTGCCATTATTCACCTCTGGAGACCTGGCATTTGACCTGTTTGTTTGAAAAACAAAAAGAGTTTAAGATCTGAGTCATCTTTGGCGTACATCTATTTGATAATAACTTACCACAAAATTAGCGATCTGTGTTCGGGGTAGAGACTGAACTGAGACAACAAAAGTGTTCCTGATACAGTGAGCCACTTAGAGAACGGCAATATTTGAAAGTGTTTGGACAGATGCGGCAGACTCTTGGACAAACTTCAGGAGCAAAAATCACTAAATTTGTCAAAATGAATAAAGTCCACATTTCCATCTTTTTCTACTTTGTTTTATATTATTTGCATGTCAGAAGAATTATCAGGAAAATACTCCTTGTGTGACAATTCATTGTTAATGCTTTACTAGTGCAGTAAAACAAGACAACTGCTGAAATTATAGGAAAATAAATTTGTAATTTCTTCCTCATTTAGCCATTTTTGAGGCTCGTGTATAGGAAAGTCATTAATGTTATGTCCTCTATCGATGTTCCAAGCCTTTCACAGGATAACTAATGTTTTTTCTATACTCCTCCATGTGGCCAGTTAAATTAGACACATTATTTCTGTGCTGTTAGAGAACACTGATCAATAGACACTTGGAAAGCCCTCTAAAACTAAGTGGAAACACTCCCTCAGTGTCAAAGGGTTCTAGTTTGGGTTTGTACATTGCAAACATTGTTAAGTTTAACAGAGTAGTAAGTGTGTGTCTGTGGCATTTTAATACTAGCATCAAAATCGCAGGAAGTCAATTTTACTTTAAAAGTACCGTTAGATATTTGGTATGCATTTGCCATTACCGCCATGATGATGGTTTTATGGGAGGAGATACCACTGCCTCTGTCAGCACTGGGTGGTTTTTAACTATCTCCTCTCATTGGACAATTACCCCACTGCCAAAATCTATCAGACTCTCGTTTGCAGAGCCTGCAGATTTCAGCCCAGCTCAACTTCACTGGGGATTCTGCAGTTTGTCTGCTTTTTTTCTGCTCCTGGAAACGGGAGCTTTCTGCCTTTTCACATCAATAGTAATACCTTCAGATTATGATTGTATAATGCAACCAAAAGCTTTTTCTTCTATCCATTTGTTTTTAATCACAAAAAGCCAAGATGCATTTCCAAGCCTTTTTTGAAATGTAAAACTGGTGAGCTATGCGGTGAGACTGGACTGCCATGTGATACTAGCAGAAGGGAATGAGTAGACTCATGCATTGCTTTACTTTCAGGAATGAATACTACATTATATCATTACTTCAAACATTCATAACCCCATTAGTTTATATCAGTAAATAGCATGCATATTATTTTTCTAGAGAGTCATGCTGCTCTTATTTAAGAATGAATTCAATGCCTCAGGCAAACACATTAGCAAGTTCCTTAAACAGCATTTTATAATTTCTTAAGCAATTGTTTTCACATTTTCCAATCTCACATCTTTTCCTGAAGCTCAAGGCTGTTCCAAATCAAACATTTCACTCACACAAACAAAATTCCTCACACACATTACTTGAAAAGAGCTGCTACTGGAGTCGCAGCCACTCTAGAGCTGTGTGTAACGGCCCTGCCCTTAGCCCCACCACGTATAAACACGAATGGCACCTGGCTGCCAAATGCTTTAATATTCAATTTATTTGGTAACAACAAAAAAAAAGAACTAGCGACTATGCCCCGACATTTCTAAAGGTGACCTACACAGGACTGGGCGAGCTCCAAGGCGAGGCACGTCCTGTGTTTGTGGTGCCTGTGCTCGCTCCGTGTGAGCACACCACTTCCAGCGCGCTTCTTCCAGGCGGCCGCAGCCCAAACGCAAGGCCCCGGGCAGCAGCCGCAGGGCTGGGAAAGGGCAGCACAGGGCCCGCGGCTGCCCGTGAGTCACAAAGGCAGCCACGGATGAGCTGCTGGCGACGGGTACCGGGTGGGCTCTGCCTGCACCCCATGTCTCACGCTGCTGTGCCCGCTGCAGGCCGCGCTCACCACCCCACCGGGTGGACTTCCCCCTAACAGCGCGGGTCTGCGGCACGCTCAGGCTTAAAGAAGCATTCCTAGAAGGAAACTCAAAAAGGGCCTGGAAACGGGACCCTGATTACATTCACAGCAAATGAAAATCCCTATTAGCCATTCATTTCTCAGAGGTCCTTACTACTCACATGCAACAAATTTATCTATCGCTCACGCTGAATTATATTCACTCTCTGAGACACAGGATTGAAGAGAATAAAATCTAAGCGTTAACAGCTACAATAAAGGGAAAGAAACAGAATACAAATTGAGAGCAAATTGTCACACAGAAGGCAGGTAGCAAACACCAACCTGCAAGCGGTTTGGAGCTAAAGCCTCAGCAGCATCACTGAACTGTCAAAAGCAGAGTCGTCAAATACATGGAGCAAGATCGTGAAAATTTACTATTTTGATGTATGTGTCAAGCCAATCAATAATTCTTTCTATAAATCTTCGGACAAATTCCTTTAAGGACACACAACAATTAAATATTCAACAAAGCAGAAGCAAACAAAAATGCAACATGCTCCTAAACTGAGACAAAGCTAGTTCCTGATGGTTCAGTCTCCCAGCTCAGGGAACACCAAACGCCAGCGTGGGGCCACGCAGCGTGGTCGCCAGCTTGCAGAGCTCGCTGCTTGACCCATGTCCTGGCTCAACCCCTGCAGGGAGAGGGGCTCTGGAGGGCACCACGGGGAGCAAAACACAATGCCAGGAACTGCTCACTGTGGAAAACTCCTGCAAAGCAAGGAAGGACACAATATGCACAACTGAAAAGGTCCAATCCAGGTTTTTTAAGATTTACCACCAATTTGCTATTCTCTCCTACATTATCCTCAAAGCAGGACTGCCTGTTGGTGCAGGACGGCCTCCCTGCCATGCAGCCTCCCCGCCCAGCACCTCTGGCCACAAGCACCGGGGTGGCCTGGCACCCCCGATCAGGCTGCAGGCTTCTCCTGTAGTCTGCAGCTGCACAATGTCAGCCAGGCTCTCCTGATAAGCCTCAGCATCCAGCGAGCTGTGCAACGATAAGCTGATACCCAAGTGCTACGTACAGCAGCTCATACAGATGATTTTCAAGGACTCCAGCACACCAAAACTTGACTAAAACATCAGTCACAGTGCACAGGATGGTGGCATGCAAGTGTTAGTCGCTTGCTGTGAAGATATTTGCCTAAGCAGACAGTAACTACAGCATGTCCTGCACTACATGATAGCTATAGTTAAAAAAAAAAAGTTTCATTATTTTATCCTTACCTTTATAGCTGTAATTAGCAATTTTATAGTCTTTTCTTTTTACCCTTAGAAATAGTTTATTTCCCTTTGTGCTTACATACTACAGACTATAGTTTCAAATATTTCAGCTTTTTTTTTACATATATGGGTTTCTACTATAATAGTTGATTATTTGCAAATAATTCCACGTTTTAAAACACATTCAGTCTGTTGCATGACTGCAGTATGAAATTCTTAACATAAAATCCACAAGCCATAGAAAATGCAATTTGACATGAATTGTGAATCCACAGCTAATGAAAACAACAGTATAGTGATTCTGCATATAACAAAGCTGCCATATAACGTATTTTATCAGCACTAGCAAATCTGCATACAACAGAAATTAACCCAAGACTGCATTATTCATAGAATCATAAAGGTTGGAAAAGACTGATCTGTGAAATTTCTGTTTATAATTATTCCTCCTCTCCCAAGCACACAGAAGTGTCAGAAAGCAGGTGAAAGAGAAAAAAAAAAAACAAACATGAAATTCCTTACAATAACTCTATATAGTCTATAGGCTTTAAGATTCACTTAAATAATGCATAAAAAAAAGTCAAAAATGGAGGAAATGCTGTGGCACCCAACACCTTTTAGGTTCCATTTCCCATCCAGAAGAGATTGGAAGCAATTACCTGACAGTTACCTTCATTCCCTAAGAAATTAAGTGGGAAATTTCATTTCAGGTGGTTGTAAATACATGTCCATGTCACAAAATGACAATACTTATACAGCAATTTTTTCACAATTTTGTCAGAAGCAGTAAAATTAACTTCTACATTCACCAACTCACTTCATGAACTCATTTTTTCAATTAAAAAAAGGTAAGAACAAATGAAGAGGTCAAATTTGGGGATTTTTTTAGAACCACATCACAATGTTGTATTTTATCATGAACTGTCAAAAACCAGGAGGCTGTAACGGAACTAGATCCTGTGTTACAACCGAGAACCTGAGGAAAGAGACTGCAAGAAAACCAGGAGGAGCAACGTGTCTCACCAGGTACACCACCAAGCGCCGTAGGCAAATCTAATCACTGAAAGACACTGCCACCATGAGGCTTTATCTGGTTTTGCATCACAGGTATTTCCATACAAATACCGTTTCCATTTTATTTTTCCATCTCACTTTTTCTACCAAATACAACTCATGAGAAGGCACTTCCATGCCTTGCTGTAGATTTGCTCCTGCCATTTTAGGGGTTTTTATAGGGAAGATTAACATATATATTTAAACTGTTTTACTCCTTTTATTCTCACATGTTTAGCAGAATTAGTAAAAAGTAATAATATCTGAGTACCAAGCAACAACGCAAAACGGAGTATTTTCCCTTCATATTGCTTCTCAAAAGCTTGCTGTACAGACGCTTGCCTCACATTTCACCAGAGGGCATCCCCAGGCATTATCCTGCAGCTCACCACTATTACACACATTCCTATGTGCTTGAATATTAAAACCAACATCCCAAAAGACTTGCATAAGAAAACCTGTTTTAAAAAGTTGTTACTTAATTAAAAAAGGGTATACTAAATTCATTTCCGAGAAAGAAAAAGCAAGCAACCAAAACAAACCCAGTGAGGCAGCAAAGGGAAACTCTCGATTAAAAATGACGTCTGGCTGAAAATACCTGTAGCTTTTTGCCTGTGCTTTTTAAGAGGAAGCCTGTGGCTTTTTCCACATTCCAGAAGATGGCTCCCCAGGTGAACCTCATCAGCATTAATTTCAGGCTAAAGCCTAAGCAGCTGCATGACACCCCCGTGGCTCCTCCCGTGGTGACCTTTCGTTGCAGAACAGCCCTGTTCTCGTGCACCCCCAGGCACGGTGTCTCTGCTAGACACCACTTCTGCCTTCACACCTTGCTGCACACTGCGGGAAGCCAGCACCACACAATCGACAGTACTTTGCTAAGGTATTGCTTTTAGGAAGCTTGAAATATGCCCAGACCTTCTGAAAAACCAGGGTGGGAATTCCAAGGAAGCCTTCAAAGGAGCATCCTGGCTCCTCTAACCTTTAACACACCAAGACCAGTGAGGTGGACTGCCGAGTCCCATTACAAACAGTAACGCCAACAGAGGGAAAGGAAAAGCTGCAAGGCTGTAATCATACCTCCAGAAACATGCGCATTAGTACCTGGGAGATTTCATTTTACTACAATACTATGGCTTAAGACTAGAAACGAAGTCTTACTTCCCCAGCTTGACTTTATTTTCAAAAATATAATTAAGAAAACAAACTCAAATACAAACTAAAGTCCATTGGAAAAGATAAAGGGGAAGAAAATTAGAAGATGGGAAGATGCTCACATAAGGAACAAGAAAATTCAAAGCGAAACTAGAGTAAAAGATGTGCCTTGCTAGAAAATCTACTCCAAAATCTCCTGCTAAATTTAAGATTATTCTCAACATCACAGTAGCAAAAAGGCATCCTCTTGGTTTTTCCGTAACCCAGAAGCTGTGCTGTTCTCAGCCAAGGCTGCAAAGGACAGACGTACGGTGTGTAGGTTTCAGTGTGCACTCACAGTATTTTGCTTACAAAGTTTAAACGTTTTGCTCAAACTGTTTCACTGAGGTGCAAAAGCGTCCTTATCAAACGAGGCTCCCCACAAACTCGTTCAACAGTGAGACATGGGTTAACAATGCAAACTAGTACTTCAGCTCCACCTCCTGGAGAAAATCTGCATTTTTGCAAAACTAAAAACTCCTTAAAAATTGTTAATGGAAAAATGGTCTGAGAACTAATCAGGCACGTGAATTTCCCCTATATTCAATTCAATTATGTCTCTCTTCCTAAATCATTTTTTTTTTTATTTAACAAAACTCTAAACTGCCACTGCTAATAAGCTCAGAAGAATCAGTGTACACCATTCATTTCTGGGAACAGGCCGATATTTTCTAAGACCCATTAATAACTATGACAGGATTTATGTACAAGATAAATTCAATTCAATTTCCTTTTTCAATTAATGGCCAATTATTCGAACTCAGCTCAACCAAAAATATTACTCAAGTATCATTAATCTAACAAAAATTAACTTTACTATTCTCTTAGTAATGAGGTGATATAATTTTAAGGTAAAATAATGAATTTTAATAAAATGTTTTCTGCCTTTATTTTTAGGACCACTACTTGCCACTGGATCCCACTGAGTCACCGTAAATCAGGTTATTATTATTACGGGTAATGACTTGACCAAAACTCCCTCTCTAGAGCCTACCTTACAACACCCTGTGCTCTACCTGGAGCCTTGCACCCAGCTCTGGGGCCCCCAACACAAGGACAGGAACCTATCAGAACGAGTCCAGAGGAGGCCACAACGATGATGAAGGGGCTGGAGCACCTCTCCTACAGAGACAGGCTGAGGGAGCTGGGGGTGTTCAGCCTGCAGAACAGAAGGCTCTGGGGAGACCTTACAGCAGCCTGCCTGTGCCTAAAGGGGGCTGCAGGAAAGCTGGGGGGGGGGACTCTGTCAGGGGGGAGTGGTGAGAGGACAAGGGGGAATGGCTTCAAACTGAAAGAGAGGAGATTTAGATTAGATGTTAAGGAAGAAATTCTGTACTCTGAGGGTGGTGAGGCCCTGGCACGGGCTGCCCAGAGGAGCTGTGGGTGCCCACCCCTGGCAGTGCCCAAGGCCAGGCTGGGGGGCTTTGGGCAGCCTGGGCTGGGGGGAGGTGTCCCTGCCCATGGCAGGGGGTTGGAATTAGATAACCTTTAAGGTCCCTTCCAACCCAAACCATTCTGTGATTCTATCTCACCTAATTTAGAAGTCATTTTACAACTAAAAATTACTGGTATAGAGTGCACAGAGCCAAGTAAAAGCAATCAGGAATATATTCTTAACCACCGTCTGTACGTTATGGTGATGCACGTATGTATTTACATAGTCCAAGAGAAAATCTCTGTGTTCCTGCAGCATTTGAGCATTTCACCTCTTTTAGGTTGTTTATCCTCACTTTCTCTCTGCTGTTCCACCTGACTGACTGCTGCAACCCACGCCTGCATCAAGCCAGTGCCAGGGCAGTCTGCGGTGAGGGCCACTGCTGCAGCTGCCTGTGCCTGGCTGGGACACATCGCCTCAGTCCTGGGAAAGCTTCTGGGGGCAAGAAGCTGGCTTTGTGTACAGCCGGGTGGGGACATCATGGAACAGAGACAGCAGGGTGGCAGCAGGCAGCCCAAGCAACCCGTGCAACACACGGGATTTGTGCCCCAAAGAGGTGGTGCCACTGCAGCCCCAAGCATTTGCTAGAGATCTGCCCATCAGGAGACCCACACAGATTCCTGGCCGACCGCGTGCTTCATTATCTTCAGAAAGGCAATTATCAATCTCAGTAACCCATGCACAAAGCACGGGCAGAGGACTAATGCCTTTCAGGAAAACAAACAAACAAAAAACAAACAAACACAAACTTGGCTGCTGTCTTCTCCATTAATTATTACCTTCGTTGATTTCCTGGGTGGTTATTTAAGGGAAATTTCATTTCAGCAATTTCCCTCACAGAACTTGAGCTTTGGAAGAAGGCAGCTATGTGAGAGCAGCATTCTCCCTCCTCTCAATTTATTTACATGCAAAATATTTTAGTAGTTTGTGGATTCAGTGTTGTTTAAACAGTTCTTCCTAATATCAGAAAAAAAGTTGTTTTGGTTTGTTTGTTTTAGTTTGAAAGAAAGTCTGCTATGTAATACATCCTCACAAGGAGGAGCAAGCTGAAACTTCAACACGTCAAATGTATAGCCCAGCAGCATCTTTTTCATTGCAAGGTTATCTATCAGGGTGAGCAGATGACAAGCAGACAGGTAATTGAGGATTCTGTTTATTTTTTAAAATAAATCTATACTGAGAAGTAAAGCACCCACCTTCCTCGGTAGATGCTTCCACAAATCAGGTAAGATCTATAACAACCACACACAACTCTTAATATGCTCCCTGCAAATCTGAGGCACGAGCTGCTGACAAGCCTGCTCTCTGAGGATGGGAATCCTCAGGATTTGACTTACTGCAATGAAGATTCTTTCTCCATCTACTGAAATGTGCGCTGAACAAAGAAACTATGTTTCAAGATGTGCAGGGATTTCTTCTGCCTTCCTTTAACAATGAAAAAAATGCATTTGCTAAGCAGTATAAAACTGTAATCGAATGTTCCAGAAATCAATAAATACAGAGCACCAAACAAAGCTACCTTTGATCTAATTACAATAGAAAATGTCACCGATTATACTGACATGCTTTCCCATAAAAATAATTATTGATTTGATGAAAACATCAACTTGTTTTCAGCTGAAACTTCATCAACTTATGTTGCTTCAGCATGAATGCTCTTATTCCAGAATAAAAGTGCCTTATTCACAGTTAGCTTACACTATTTAAGAAGCATCCACAGACAAGGAGCTCATCAAAACCAACTATTTTTGAGTAACTCTTCTGGTGGAGAAGCTGGAGAATTTATAATCTACCCCTTACATGAAATATACAATAAAATTAACCCAGAAGATAGATGCTAGGAAACTGGAAATAAAAAAAATAAAAATCAACACAACTGTAGAGATCTGTGTAACTAGGAGTGAAATCCACTGGATACGCTTAGACTGTGAAATAAATAGAACAATTGTACTGAACTTCTTAGCTTTCCAGGCTTTTACTAATCTCTGTATTTGACTTGCCTTCTCTCTTCACTAATTACATAGTCTATAGCAGAAAATAAATTGTACCTTCTGGATTACATTTTATGAGACAAAAAAAAAAATCGTCATTGGTTTAAAAATTTAGGTGAATTTAAAAGAAACGTACAGGAGGCTGCAAATAGCATTAGCAAGCTATTTGGTTATCTGCACATTTCTGTCTAGCACATGAGTCTGTTCTGTCCACGTAGGTTTGCTCTCACTATTTCCAGTCACAACCGGACTACTGGAGCTGCCGCTTTGGTTCACCTGAACCTTCTGAGAAACCATCTTTTTGCCTGCAGAGGCTGTCGCCCACAGACCTCATTCATAACTGCTGGGAGCTCTCAGCTCTGACACTGTCATCTTCCCAGAGCTGATATGCATTAGCTCTAATGTAGCAGCTTTCTGCCAAGAGATTAATCTCCAGATCATTTTAAAATTTTATAAAACCGCGCATCGCTGAAGCGTGACATGACTTACTTGGCTCACATATGCGCGTGTGCTGCCCCGCAGGCTGGGCACGATTCCTGCTGGGAGGCTCCCGAGCTTCGCCCTGAGGCCTGGGGCCGGGCTCCCCTCCCAGCCCTGCCCGGTGGCTGCGAGCCCCGTGCCCACGAGCTGCAGCCAGCAGGACCCAGCCCGCTCCACCCTGCGCACCCTATTTGTTATTTTCTAGGGCAATCTCAATTTTTTGATGCACATTAATTAAGATAAGAGTGGAACAAATTCCCAGCAGCTTCAGCCCGTCACCTATGGGACAACAAAAGCCAGCCAACCAAACCACATTCTCTCCCTCGTCATGAGAGCACCCACGACCCTGAGCCTAGAACCAGCCCGTTTTAAAACCAGATTGGACATCCAGGACCATAAGTAACAGACACTTCTATTAAGTTTTGCATGTAGGATGCACCATTTTAATCCTTAGTACGTAGTGAGTTACTGCAGTCTTCAGAATCAAATCACTGCCAAGAGACACTTTGATATCACATTCTTTTGTCATCTCACAGGACTCTTGAGGAACTTGCACCCTCTGCTTCCCTTCAACTGGAAGAGAGAGGCTGTGTGCTGAAGGGACAGGCTACAGAATACATTTCCTCACTCTCAGTCCTAGTGCGGACAAGCA